GGATCGCGCAACCCGCGGAAAGACGAGAAATATTTTCGTTCCTTTCTCTGTTCCCGAAGGATTCGGTACAGGAAAATAGGCTGCGAAACAACGGAACGCTGGACCGGAGCCGGTCGATGGTCGAGGAATAGTTGTTAAACTACGGCGGAAGTATGCGCGGAATGTTCCTCCCGGCTTTTCGCCATTCGCCGGAAAGAAGAGAAAGGAACGCGCGCTCTTCGAATAGGGAAAAGTAACTTCGCTGAATTTTACTGAAGAATTTAATATCGGACACGCCAATAGTATCTCGCAGCCTCTTTATCATCCTTCGAGATTCAGGATTGATGTTTTAACGCATTCGCTGCAAATATAATTACCACAACAAAGCCGAAGTGTTCGCAAGAGAATTATTTAATTTCGACTTGAAAGAACAAACACTTGTCAGATTCAATTTCAAAACATCGATAGCTCTACTGGACGTTATAAGGCAATGGATTAACCGATGCTCTGATGCGCCGTTGATGCACTATCGATGCATCATCGATACAACGTCAGTTCCTGGCATATGGAATATCACATGGTACGCCGGCAACGCTTCGAATGGCAGCGAACGCGTTAACGTTTCCGTCGCGATCGGGTTGGCCGCGATTCCGTCGGAATAATCGCGGAATTCTTTTTCACCGTGGACCGTTCGCCGCGCTCGATTAACGGATTCGTTAAAATTGGATCGGATCTCGCCGATTGGCGGGCATCGATTCGACGGCCGCGTTTTTATTTCGAATTAAGCGGCTTGTTTATTACGAGTGCCGCGAACGAACAAGTAGAGGAGCCGCGATATAGGTCAGACTCAGCCCACAGTTATCCTCCTCGCGGCCGATATTTTTAATTAAATCGCCGCCGGCCCTGATCATCAAGGACACTTATCTTCTACGATTCATCCCCGTTCCGTTCTCGCCGCGCGAAAAATTATTAAATATCTGGATCCGCGGGATCCCCTCTCCTGTGGAAGTCTCGCCGCGTTCGGTGAACCGCGCCGCGAAGCGTCGCTGTAACGAGGTGACACAGTTTTCAACGATCTAGACGTAATCCTTTCGCCCCGTAATTAATTCCTCTAATTATTCTTGCGAAGTGTCAATTAAAGGAGACGAGAGGTCTTTTAATCTTCGTCGAAGCACCCGGAAGATATTGCTTCGTATTGTACTGTACATTACACGATCGCTTGAACATCGAAATATACACAAATATATATATATATTATTAAAAGGAGACCTAAAAACTTGTAAATACAGAGATACTAATTTCAACGAGAAACTGTTGAAAATTCTCCGCGACGTGATACACGTTACAATATCGAGCATCAAACAATTCTTCTCCTTCGTTCGATTTCGCTGTTAGCGTAGGTTCCCTTGTACACGCATATGTCAATACCCGTCGGATCGTTAATAATCTTCCGCTAGAAACAGCGGCGCGTTATATCATTGTCGCAATGACTGCGCGATACGAGTCCGTCGATCAATCTGTCAATTAGACAACAGATTACACCGTGTCCGATAAGGGAACGGTTTCTCCGTAACAAATAGGCTAAAATGAAGTTCTCCTCCGTATTGAATAGAGGGATCCACCGTGGAATTAGCGGCGTGCTCACCGCCGCGTTGTTACAGGAAACGGTCCTCCCTGTAGGAGCGATGTTTCCGCGAGTGGGAAGCGTGTAACTCTCTCGTAGGTCGATAAATCGCGAAAGAGATAAGCCGGAATGCTACAGGAAATTAAGGTCTCGCCGTTGGTTCGACGTCCCGCCAACCCTAAAAGTCACTCTCCCTCGGGTTCGGGTTTGAGCCACTGTCCTTCGCCTCTCCGGCTTTCACCTTAGCCCTCGACGGCCCCCACATAAAGCCGGCCTGATTAAGTGCATGTTGTCGAAGAACGATCATATCTCTCGTGCGGTTTTCTTCGCGGTGGACCAGCTTCTTCTTTTTTCCTCTCTTTCTTCCCTTCTTTCTTTCTTTCTTTCTTTCTCTCGCCCTCCCCTCTTGAAAAGACTCTGACGGGGAAGCCCGATGAAAATGAAAGGCCTAGACGTCGGCCCCCTCGGTGTCCCGGGGGAGCAGGCCGCGAAAAGAGGGTGGAAAAAAATATATATGTGTATATATATATATATATGTATATACGTGTATGTATGTATATAGTGGAGTAAGGAAATATTCCTGCGAATCCTCGTATATATGCCACGGAACTTTCACGCGACAGTAAGTTTGATACCTGACCCGCTGAAATATGGGGGATGATGATGATGATGATGATGATGATGATTATTGTTACGCATCCGTCGCAAGACTTGGAGTGCCGTGAAATGCTACGGTACTCTGGAAGATGAAGGGAAGAAACGTGTTGCATCGAAGATTCCAGAACGTAAACGTGACGCAGTGTTTTGTGGGAATTCGACGTGTCGCGTCGGAATTAGCGCGTTTAAATGCACAGAAGGAGAACGCGAGATAGATTTAAATGTTAGAATGTGTTCGTGTTGTTTCCAACGACGCGAGATGTTTATCGAGAGAGATAAGTGTCCGCTTAATTCTTAGTCGCAGCGAATTGGTCGAAAAGGTGCGAGTCCCCGTCAACATCCTCCGTTAATCGATTGAAAAAGGTGCGTCGCGAAACTCTCGTTAAAAATTTCTCGTACGGCCGGCGTGTTCGCGAAAGCATCGCGGTAAATCTGTGCTCCTCTCGAGCAAAGTATCCCGGATTTTTTATTCGGCAGTTCACGCACGACTGACTTTCCTCCCCGAATGCATATTCTCGCCCACCCTCCGCGCGGCACGCACACGTACCTCGATAATACTAAACAAATCCTGTCGAAATAGCTACGGACAGTTTATGGGCTAGCAGAATCTCTGAACCTATTCCCATGGAGGACACGTTTCAACCCCAAGTTCCTCGGCCTGTGTTTTACATCCCCTGACAGTACGGTCCACACCGTCGCGTCTTTAACCGTAACGCTTTAAAGTTGGATGACGCGTCAAACTTCGCGTTCCTCACTTACGTGCTACTTTATCCCGCGTCTTGAGATATTGAACGCTCCGAGATGGAAATTCTTGGTCCTAGGTGTAATTCGTTTTGACTGCCATGAGAATTTCAAGCGTTTTATATCACTCACCCTTTCGCAGCACGCGCACCGAAGTAACTATCAATTATTTGGCACCGCAATCCTTGCGTTACACTCTTATCTAGTTACGATACTGAACCTTTTTATTCGGAGGTTCCATTCATCGATGGCGGTTCGTCAACGAAAACAACTGTAATAATTAAATCTATCGATTCTCTGTTCAAAGTTCCAATTACCAAAAGGAAATCAATTTCTTTACTCCTTTCGGTACTCGATCGTTCCCGACGGATACAAGTAACACCGATCCTCGAAACCAATTACGTGTCTCTTTGCGCGCCGCGCACTTTAACCTTTGACTCCGATATTACCCGGGGAATGTAATTAGCCGAGCCGAAGCGCACAGTTTGCCGATTGTTCTCCGAGCCGAAGAGTCATCGCGCGGGACTAGCCTGGTCATCGAACCGCGCGGCGGCTCCTCGATTGTTTGTTTCCGTGCAACATTAATTAACCCCGCGTATTCTTGATACTTAATTACACGCGAGCAGGAAGGCCGGGCGACCGTTGTTTCGACGATGCACATGGAAACGCGTATTTGCGGGCCGAATCGGCGACCGGCGGAGCCCGATAATCTCGTTACCGAAGACAATGTCCGGGTAATCGGGACGACAGCGTTCGGAAAACAATACTGCGATAATGTTTTTACCGTGACAGTTTCTCTTCCCTCGTTTCTCCGGCCAAATTAGGATACAGAGCTGGCCACTTACGGCCGGACACTCCCAGTTAATTTCCGGTTGTAAATAGTCGATTCGAGCCCTCAAAAGCTCGCCCCCATCGCCGATCGATCGTTTCTTTCCGTTTCCATTCTATCACCTTCGTGTTAAGTTGGCTGTCGATACTGTTACGTGTTAATGATCGAAACTATTCTAAGGATTTATTTGGTCAATAATAATTTATTTCGTCGTCAGCACAAAGTTCGCCTCGAGACGAACGCTCGTCACCAACTGCCCTTGCATCTTCCTTTCTTCCTTTTTCGTCGTTCGTTCAAAAACAATACACTCACATATCCTTATAATACGCACGTTGCCTATTTTCTTACGCTATAAAGGAAACATCAGTGAAAGATCCTTCTTGTCTCTGCGTAGTGCCGCTAGACATCAAGTTATCTTTCAACTTTAGATTTGCTGATTAACGCCAGGTTTATGGAATGCGTCAATTTGACGTACATTGAATTTTATAGGAATTATTTGGTAATTGTTCGCGTCTGTTTTGATTGATGTAATTATATGAATGTGTATCTTGATAGTGTATTTTGAAATCTTTCATTTCTAAGGTTTAAATGGATAAGTATGAATTTTTTTAGGAGGAATAAATTAATGGTAATATCGGTTAAGGATCACTCGAATGTAAGATACAGTTGAGGGAAGATTTCTAAAAATCGTATTTGATTTGAGGTAAATTTGTACGAAGGTACAGCATTGGCAGCTTCAGATTTCAACTTAATATCGATCATTGAAAATACTCTGGTAATGAGGTTCTTTGTTTCGAGACCATGCTTCCTGAAATTTGATGGCTGGTAAATTATAATGTTAATATATTTCGGTTGATAAATATTGACAGTGTACGCAGAATGTAATTAAATATTGACAGCGGTGAGGTATTTACTTATTTACTGCGCGCAACAGCCGGTGCATCCATTAATGGCGCGCGGGTTTCTTAATTATGAATCCTGTGTTTAATATGTGAATGTTTAATATAATTATCTGGGATATTGTGACGACGCGTTGCGCGAGTCGTGGGAACGTTAAATTATTTCACCGGATTTATTGTGCGTGCGCGGAGCCAACATTTGCCAGCTTTGATGAATTCGCAGGTAAATATTTATAGACTTTAATCAATACGAATGGCGTCTCTGTTTCAGATACGCGATTGGTTAACCGTTGAAGAAATGTCGCGACAACAGGCTGTGGTTGTCGGCGATGTCGACAAAATTATGCAGATGATAGACAAACAGAAGGTAAGTCGATTATGGATACCTAACAGTATACTATCTGAAAAATATGAATTTGATTCCTTTATTAAATAAAACGCGAGTGAAAGTTTGAGCTTTCGTATATTTGAAATTGCAAAGACTTCAATGGCAGAAAGAAAGAGAGAGAGAGAGAGAAGTTATCACTGAATTGGTGATACTTATTTTGTAGGTCGTAAAAGATTTGAAGATACAGTAAAGCAAAGTACAATAGAATTTATTGGAGTTCTAAGGTCACAGTTTGCGTGTCGAAATGACTACAAATGAAAATAAAATTCCACTTAAATGCTCTTTCCCGTAATTTATCCATAAAGGTGGGAATTTGTGTGATTATCTGTAATCTAGCTTTTACTGTATATTGTGAGCGCCATAAAACTCTCCTACTACAGCAGGTGACATTCTGCTGTATTTCCTTGAATAGCCAGAGTATTTAATTAAACTACGAGATTAATTTATGCACAAAGGCAGACCGCAGATTGACTGAAAGTTTCTTTGTTTAGACTGTAAATCCAGTAATAATTAACCCTTTGAACTCGGAAGTTTTTGACTGGAAATATTCAACGTTTCCCGACGAGATACAGCCATGTATTTCGAGCGCTGTGGCTGGAGTCCTCGTTTTACAGAGTGGTTAAATTATAACTTGGCCTCTTTTGATTATTACCTATTTATTTCATTCGTTGCCGTTCTCGATTTCAATGCAGGTGAAAATTCAATTTTGTCTATGACAATTATGAACGGATTTAATTCTGTACATTCTGAAATTAATTTGTAGTATCGTTGTTATTGGAATACTTCAAATATTCAACATTTTTCGACGAGGTACAGTCGACATTGTTCGAGACTAATTTAACGATATTTCACAGATAAATTAAGCAACAAAGCTATTTCATTTAAATATTACACATAGCAGTGCAAAGATTAATTTAAGGTACTAAATATTCGACTTCATACTTTTATCAAATAAAGTGGTGACCGAGAGTCACCTCTCGAGTGCAAATGGTTAAAAACTTTAGTTCATGTACGAACAAGATGTCAGATTAACTGAATCGTAAGACTGCGTTTCCACGCTAATTATTTGATCAATTAACTTTGCTCTATCAGAATTTAAGTCACAATTCATTTAAAAATCGGAGAATGAAAAAAGTGTATCGCGTATACAGTAAACTAACATTTTCGTTGATCTACAAATGTGAACTGCAATCCCTGTCTTATCTAGCGTACCGACGGAAGCCGGCAGGTGAACGCCCATGCGTCGACAAAACTGCGATCTGCAGTATCCACAGGGGTAGGGAACTGGGGTGCAGCTACAGGTACAGAGTTATTACTGGACGTTGCAAACAAATGAAACTTTCTATCTCTTGATCTGAAATACCGACATCGTCGAAACTACCCCAATACCACCGACAAAAGACAATACACTGGACATTCAATATAAATTTTTCTCATACAGCTGAGGGTTACGTGATCCCCTTACCAATTCACGTCACAAATAAATAAATAAAAAACGTGATTTTTACTTTCTTGATCGCACACGAAGTTCCATAAGGTCTACCCTATCTGTGAATTCGATAGAAAGTCAAAGCATTAATTCAATATCATAATCAAAGCTAACAGTTAACGTCAGACGCGACAAGAACAGCGATCAGAAATCAGGCTGCAAAGTGATTTTCAAGATGCCTGTTTCAGAGAATTTTGACATTACATCGTTTCCATTTGATTACAACTGTTTTCTCCTAAAGTTACCAGATACTTCGCCAGATAGAATAATTTAATGCTCCAGCAAAACGAAAAATATGCTTTCAATTATTCGTTATTACTATTCATATGTCTTTGGGTAAAATTTGAATCTATAGCTACAGCTTCGCTCCCTTATCTATTCTAGACGATGATATCCATGGAACCACCCTTCGCGTTATCAGCTTGCAGTTACCAACGGAGTTCGTTGGTAGATGGTAACTTCTGGCGAAAGTTTCGTTGGAGTTACACGGTTCCGAGGGATGATGTCGTTTCTTTGGTTTTCCGTAGCCGGGTGGGGGTTTCTGGGTTACTGACCGGGAAAACCCTGACATTGGCATTGGCATTAAGGGACCAATGAACGTTGCCACGCCTTCCCCTGTCCGTCGGCTATACATTGTTGCTTCTCGCGCAATAGTTATGCTCAGACTATTGATTGCTCGAGCGTGGGGCTCGCGCTCATCCCTACATGCACCCCCTCGACGATTTGTGCCCGAATTTTCGAGCGTACCTTTCGCTTTGACGATTTTTTTCTCTCCTAAATTCTCCCAGCGAAAAAAGTACGCGCATTTTTTCGGAACGCCTTTTTTTCCCCCGCGAACGATACGACGAATTTATCGGAGTCCCATCGGATTCAGGATATTTTTCCAGCCGCGCGCGTTTATTCTTTGTGCATAAATATTCGCGCAGTGTGTATCTTTTCGTTCGGTCTTTGGGAAAATGGTGCGAATCTGTCGGATATTCCGATGCTCCGTTATTCAGATTTTTCGATCGGAACTTGTTGTTTGATGGGGGTCTGTCGACAGTTTTTATTTTGTTGCTTGTATCACTCACAGGATGTCAAATAAAGAACGTTCAGTCGTAAATGTTTGTACGGACGGAGTGGGGACACGCGGCACTTTTTAACTCTTTGCGGACAAATGTCGGCATTCTAGCGAGATGAAATTGTATTTCGGAAACCAAGTCGCGAACAAATGACTGAATTAGTCGGACAATAAGAGATCAGCGTGTAGTTTCCTTCTGTTCCTGTTAATGAAGCAATTGGTGTGTCATTTAGCTTAATCTGCTGAAGGTTTCGTACATTTCAAAGAATCTTCGTCCGCGAAGGGTTAAAGGAGATAGTGCATTGGATTAGACCTGTTCGGAACCTCCGACATACGTGTTGCACGAATGAAAACTGTGATAGGTAAAAATGGTGCGCCATGATGAAACGTACCTTTGAGTTTTATTCAAAACGCCCAAGTGTCCTGCACGAATTGATTTAATCCTTTACGTTCAACTCAGTTCCGCACGGGAATGCAGGCTCCAATAGTAGCACAACTTTCAGTGCACGGTATACGACATCAGTCTCCGGGCAAGTTAAACTCCGTAATCTTTCCAAGTTTCCATGAAAGTGGCGCATTGTTGAACGATGCTCGCTGGAACGAATTAATTGAGACTGATTGGTAGCCCTTTCGCGACCTCTTCAACAAAGCTTTACGCTGGAACGACTTCGTCCGTCTGTCTCGCGTATTCCGATTGATTTTTTCCCCCAATCTGGAGATCGATTGTTTTAAATTCAATGGGAATACTCTCCATGTTACGAGGCTACATTCTTGACGAGAATTCTGCTGTTTTTAACACAGTCACGCGAATATTCATGAATCAAGTTACATCGATCCCGACGCGTCCACAGTTCAGACAAACAACTTATCCACAGATCGATGGTAATGAATGATTGATACTAAAGTAACGTCCACACTTCTGTCGCGAAAAACGCAACTGAAACGAAAACGCTATATCCATGTCTAGTATATCCGAGTATAAGCGATTTCAGGTAATCCAGTAAGCAAACTGTATAGTTTCTCCTCGAGCTAAGTCATCGACTAACAGCAAAGTGCTTAACTGTTGCGAGCCGAGACGGAAAGGGGATAACAAGTCAAGAGGTTAACGTCTCTCCGTGCCACCGGGCGGCCGGCGAAAGAATGGCGATTGATCAATGGGAACTCGATTTCACGTGAACTCTGGGCCTTCTTTCTCGTTGAAGCGCCATTCGAGTCCCGTGGAAACGGAGTTGCCGGAATACGATTTGAGGGGGCGGTCGAAAACAATGGGTTTGTTACGCCGCGTGTTGTTATTGATTTCCGATTGGGGAAGCCGGGGCAAAAGATATGAAGAAATGAAAGAGGCTGCGGAACCGGAACAGGGACGAGGAGACGGATCGAGGAGAGAGGAGGTCTTCCATTATACACAGGAATACCGGCCCCCTTTGAATCTCTCCTGATTACCAGAATTAAAATCAACGGATACGCGGAACCGATAATTACCTACCGGAATGCCGAATCGCCAGAGTATTTTCGTTCGCCGCTTAACGCAATCTCCAGAACACGGAAATCTCGATTTCTTCCTCTGTTTCTTCGTTCACGAAACTTTTCATGAACTCCGCGGATCGCCGGGGAACAGCGGATCATCCGGAGAACTCCGTTTTTTTAATACTTCCGAGCTGTTCGCCGTGGAAGTACCTCTTTAAGGTTAATTCTGGCTTTTCTTCACTCCGCTATATATCTCGGTAACGGTAATAGACGCGAAGGAATTGTTATAATGGAAATTTAATGGCATTCTACGCTCCATGAAGCTCCGCGAAATGGTTTTTAAATCGGGCTCGCTACGAACGTGTCCCCTGTTTGAGGTTAATATTTCAGATAACTTCAGACAACGGCCGTTCCAACTCCTTTATTAAACCTCGAGAGGATTAACAGGCGTTCGATAACGGGAATGAAAATTTCATGGAAGTCTGTTTACTTTTAGGAGAAACGCGGATCGTGTTAACGGTCCTTTTATCATCGGAACATGACCGTTTCACAGCGAACGGTGAAAGTAACATATTAACAAATATCTGAACGATCACGGAAACCTGAAGTTTAATATCTTTGCATCCCATAGATGTAACAAAACTCGTTCATCACTAAAGAAATTAATTCTCAAATCTGCACTTCCACCGGAAAACATTGGTCCGTCTAATTCGAACAGCAGCATCAATGAAAATCGACACAAGCTTTCGCGAAATGCTGTTCACAAAGTTTAATACCCATTAAAAATTAACAAGTTCCCAGTGTCGAAGAACTTTTCCTCGCGAGGTGGCTATGCCGCGCAAAGTCCCGGGAAAAAAGGCGAGTCCGCCTCGTATCTGGAAGTCGCGGCGCCTGCACCGACGCTCCTGCATCACCGAATACCGATGTAACCGGGAAATTGCGAACTCGGGGAAGCTTCTTCAT